TCAAATCTACAAGTAGGACATTAGTCCCTTGCAGATTGCAGATTGGCCTTTCTGGAGAGCGCCACAATTCAGGAAACCTAGGTCTCGCAGAGCCTACAACCGGTTGCCTCCAACTGTCAAATATAAAAAGACGTAAAATCTCAGCAGCCAATGTCTTTAGATTTTTGTTTTCAGTTTCAACCACAATCAGTCATATACATATGACTTTTACTCTATGAAACTGATTTTAGTGACGACACGGATTTCACATTACTAAAAACTGGATGATCTTAAGTTTTGTTTAAATTTAATCTAATTAGCATTTTATTTGAATAAATTTAAATGATGAAAACAAGAGAAGGCAAATCCATTACTTCCTAAGAAATCTTATTTAAATCAATACTGACGAGTTTTAAATAAGACTAGCAAAAATATATATACGATGAGAAATGTTAAAGTGTAGTTTGAAATTAACGAAGTGATCATCCATTTATAAGTTGTATAAAATTTGTATAAAATGTAGTGATCATTACTTAAGTTACTCGGGCCAATTTAAGACTAACATAAAGAACAAAATAACACTAGTTAACGGAAAAAATATATAAGATTATTATGTACACATACGATATCAGAGTGTACAAATTGGACTTAAAAACTATCTGGGTAAATGTTTGCTAATGTCCGAAACTCTTCATACTTCTATCAAGCCTAAAGTCACCTTTGAATTCTTTTATGAAAAGATTTTATGGAGAAGTCCATTGGTAAACAAAGCATAGAAGAAATATGTTACATTTATCATCACTCTTTCGTCGAACTCCTGTAGCCACATAGAAACCTACAAAGGATTGTTATCTAAATTGATAACAACCACTGACAACTGCTTTGGAGGCTAACTTCTAATGTCTCAGCTTGAATTCAAGCTATTCGGTTGACAGTGGTTAGCAATGGGATCTAAGATGCTCGTTTTGTTTCATCTGGGACTGGTTAGTTGAATGCACCTTTATCTCAGTGACTGAGGGTGGTTCTATTGACATTGAAACCTGATCATCTAACATCTCAAACACTAAAAAGTTATTGACTGAGCCCCTAGAGGCAGGTCATGTTATTTACTGAAAGTATTCAACGTTCCCTAGTGATTCTTTTTTTATTCCTTCACGTTCTCAGTGGAACATAGGGCTTCAAATTAGAGGCTTGAAGTTTCTGTAGCAGTTGTGTTTATTTCTACGGGATGGGATGCTAGTCCTATGCCTAACGTCCCCTCTTTACTAGTCTTATTACTGGTTTAGCGAGGTTTGGGAGTGCGTCGGCCAGGGATCGAACCGCGCACCACATGCGTGGTCGGTGATTCATTTTACTACAGCAAAATGCTCAGTCTCTGTTAGCACAGTGGCTCCTATTGTGGACGCTTCAATCAGGTTTAACATGGTATTATTTGTTTGTTTGATGGAGGATTACGGTGGAATCCAGGATGTATGTTTAATTATTTGTTTGACTCATCACTTGTTTAACTTTATTGTTGTTTTAGAAGTATAACCAATCTTATTTTCCTTCTGATTAGAACATTTTGTACAGGTTTTCAGAATCTGGGAGATGAAGGGTAAGTATATCTTCACTACTTCAATCTATTTTGAACTATCACTATGAAAAGTCTTCAGACATTGACTTTCTAACATTTCCAGCACAGTACCTAGGATACATGCTTATCCTTACATGGCTCACATCAGTAATCAGTGATTTCATGTATCAGCGTTGTCCTTCAGTTTGATCAAGCCTATCTTATTTCAAACCTGATACAGTTTCAGTTACTATTTCTAGGCATATATATATTCGTCACATAAATCGATGAAGTATAGTAACTTCATCGACTAACTTCCATTTGATATGTGACACTCTATGTCTAACTATAACCTGATTTCCCCTTACCATACTGCTTCACCTAACACGAGAAATTGAAGAAAACTACTTGTGAACGAAAATCTCCTATCTTCGAATGTCTCCTACTTTCGTCATTCATGTCACAAAGCTGTAAACTAAACTGTAGGATAAATTGTTGGGCAGTATACACATTCCTTGATGAACAGTCATATGTAATGCTCAGGCCATAAATGACACAGGTTGGTGAGTGTAGAGCCAGAATATTCATACTTCAAAGTAAATAGTCTGTCATGGATGGTGAAGCTAACCAGACAGATCAAATGATCAAAATAGGAAATCATTTTACTGTTTATTCTTAAACTAAATGTCAGTATAGATCAATCCTGAAGCACTATCTCACACATAATATAAACGGAGTTTATTTCAAATATCCTCAGATTTTTTCCAAGGTTTCATTGATCATCCTACATTTTAAGTATAACTGGGCATTTGTGGGGCAAATTAAATCCGGTGTAACTATGTTTAACAGGAATACTTTTGTTTTTACGAGTTGATCATGGATTGATATCAGTTAGATAAACATTGAAAACCAGCAATGGAGTACTGGACAGCTGTTTCCTCCTAGTCTGGGAATCATCGGCAGTACGCACCCACTAAAGTTCAAACCCAGGACCTTCAGGTTACAAGGCAAGCCGGCTCGTATACCATTCAGCCACTTTTCATTTCTCATGTTTTTGATAACTCAATCAGAAGAGTTCATCAATCCTTACCATTGCATATTTCAACAGTTACTGGTAGCTGAATGAATAGTTATCTAAATATCACTAAGATTTATCGGAATAGATATAATAGAGAAGATTTGTTGCTCAGGTGGATGATTTTGGTGTGGTTGTGTTCTCTGAGCTGGATGGTTTGGTTGCGAAGCTTTCATTGCTCTACTGAGCAACATCTTCAGCGCATACTTAGATGTGAAGTGAGCTTTTAGAATTCTCTATGAGTTTATTAGTCATCTCTTCTAGTAACCTTGAACGTGATTGGTTGTTTTCGTGTGACATTTCACCCCCTAGTTTGCTTTATCGGAATCCTCAAAAGTAAGGTTTAGTGCTACATTAAAAAGCTTAATAAAAAATACTAGAATATCTAGACTATTTAAAAAATGAGAATAAAACGTTATTGGCAAGATCATGTGTTGATGGGATACAGTACAGCGACATCGTTTGTAAATAAGACTTTGGCATTTGAAATGATGAGTCCTGTGTTCTAGCTTTAGTGAGAACAAGACCATTTATTGAGAACGCACGTAAGTCCAGTTGAGGTGTCTCAATGGGATAAAAAGCGCATCTTGAATATCCCTAGTAATCATCATCAAATAAATAAGATGACGTTTTCGGTCATTTGTAACTTTAAGTGTTATTATCTTATCACTATTTATTCATGATTTATTGTCATAAGAATCCTCCTATTTGGCACAATCTTTCTTATTTTTAAGAAATTAGACTACTCTCTTGCGCAATCGGAGGGTTAGTGTCAACTCTATACGATCAATGTAACAATGAAAGATAACCAAATCAATAGTAGACAGGATAGAGAAAGCTTCTGAACGAATTTGTTCCGCACCGAACACATAAGCTAAACTTCTTAAGGTGGATTCCTACGGTTAACAAGACTTTTAAAGTTATCTATCGAATTCCGACTCATTTCAGTTTCTTCCTTCGTCTTTTATACGATATATAGTAGTGGCTATAATGAGTACTTCAGTTGCTAAAGTGTGAAACCAGCTCCTTTAGCCAGCAGTAAGGGATTTTGTAAAGATAAATTTTTACTGATTCCGTCACCTACAAACAGGCATAAAGCACTTCTGACACATTTGAGCTCTGGAAATACTAAAAATTCCAGAGAATTCATAGGAGCCTGGTGGTCATAGCAATCTTCACTGAATGGATATCTGCGCATATATCAAACTCATCAACCAAAAGACAACAAACCCCGTGGTAAAAATGATAAAAAGTCAAACTCCAAGTCAGTGGGACTATAGATACCGACACAGATTAACACATTGGTAGAAAAACTACAGAACACAACCAGTTACAATCAACGTCATCACGAAAGATAATTATGTCATTCACGAAGAACTACAAAAAAACTAATTTCACGTTGAAATAAGCGTTGAAGATGTTATCCAGAAGCTTCGTAGTTATACCACCCAATTGTGAGAACATAACTACATCAAAGCATCCACCTTAAATACAAGTATTCATCATTTCAGTACTCGCTATGTATGAAGAAAACAAAACATTACGCCCTCAAAATGTAATCACTAATGTATACTCCTGAAGAAGCCACAAGGAAGACAAATCACCCCCATATTAGGTAAGTCTACTTTATACAAAATATAGTGGTAAAGTGTCGATAACCAGATAATGCAGAAATGTAAATAATGAGGAAAAGTCTCAATAGTTCTACAATATACAGAAGAAACGTCAGATGTTCTACGTAGGATTACTGTTAAGGCGGGAGTAAGGGTAACATTTAAACCAAGAAACTCACCCAGAGGCAACCTTTGTCAGCTTAAGGACTCGAAAATTAAGTTAAGAATAACAATTTACCAAATGTTCATGTGCTGACTTTGAGGTCAATTACATAACGTAGAAAAAGGCACTAGATTGAGGTAAGTTAGATTGTCGGAACATATAAATTTAGCTAGAGCTAGAATGATTGACCATGCTAAGTTAAATAATCTATAAAAAACTTCAGCCAATGCAATGCATTCACTTCCGTGTAATTACACTATAGGGTGGGACAGAGTGAAAGTATTAAAACAAGTTAGGTTAATCCCCTAATCAACACCAAACATGCGCAATCGAAATGACACAACGCCTATGCTGGACAGTTAGAAAATTGGCATGAATACCAATGGGGTTTGTAAATGCGTGGGTATGATCATGAGCAATAAATTGTGTTGGAAACGTCATTTAGTAACTTACACTGTGTCACTGTCTGAAATGTAGAACAAACTTATCTAATAGCGAATTACATTCTACCACAGTGCTTAAATTCTACACTCACATTAAAAATGGAACATTTATCTGAATTATAAAAAGTGAGGGAATGTAGAAAAAAAGGATAAATAATCAAAAGCAACTTACTTTAACTGGACAACCTTCTGTCTCTAATCGCATTGACGGTTCTTTGCAGACAATTTTCCAATGTGTTAAAAAACTACAACAATTTGTAGTTAAATATAATTTTTGATGTCCAGACATACTACTTGCAGACAGTGGTGAGACTAAATCACTAGCCAGATATAAACGTTCTTCACTAATATTTTTATTCGCTAAACTAAACTGTACAATATCACCATATTTAACAACACAGTCAGTCATTCCACATTTAGTGCTAAATTAAAACAAAATATCAACTGCACTGTAAAATTAGTTATTACACATGTAAAATAAAGTAGTATGAATAATATGTTATGGAATTATATTTAAGTACCGACTGCATAAGTGATGTCTTGTATGCCTCTGTAGCATGGTGGATAGCACTGTGACGCATGAAACGATATGAACGAAACATGTAATTCAACAAAAAGACTCTTTTTGGCAATTTCATTCTCTTCTTTAGCTGTACACTTTGTAGATCACTTTGAAGGAGGCGTTTATTGAGATGCAGTGATCGGTTTCGACATGTTGTTCGATTATCGCACTCATTATAGAGCCACTGCAAACTAACTTTCTGCAACTATGCGGCATAGTGTTCTTGAACGCTTTCCAACAGGATATGCGTCGAAAGACCAATATACCTGGCTGCACAAGAATAGTTGAATTATTCATCTTATTACATAACTCTGATACACTTAGTCAGCTTCCTGTATGAATTGACTAACTTTGACAGCTGTCTTCGTGATAACTCATCACCTTTGTTACTGCCTTTCTTCATCAAAAATTGAATTCAAATACAACTGTACAGATAAAGAAAATAATGAAATCACCGAAAAGAGCCTCTTTGCTTTAACTGCATGTTTTGTTTACACTAATGTCTGGTCGGGGAGTATTTATTTTTTTTATTATAGCTTGATTCCACACAGTATTTTGGTACAAGTATGAAATTTTCAGCATGTGATATCGGTAGCCCAAATTTAACAGGCCGGCCATAGATATCAGGTGTGCGTCGGCGGGGGATCGAACCTCGGACCATATGCATGGTCAGCGAGAGTCTTAACCGCTGTGCCACCGACGCAGTATGAAACAATGAGTGGTAGTCTCTCAGTGAGGGCACTATCACTTATTGGGAATACAGGTACACCCAACCGTTTAGTACCGAATGGAAGGAAACTTGCATTCATTGTTAGTCACCACCGACCAAATAATATTATAGATAAGTTCAAAAAGATTATCTGACACTATTTTCTTAATAACCTAAAATATTCGACAGGAATTTATAAGTATCTGTTAGATACCAACAGTAATTTCTTATCAAATTTCTTCAATCAAGGTACCATAATAAGTAGCAAATTTATTTACAATAGTTGCCTTGTATTTAATGGTTAGTTGTAGGGATTTTATTTGTTTCGAGTTTGACCACGGCTTGATATCAGTTAGGAGTACTTGATGGAGGTTTTGTCCTAGTCAAGTTCTCATCATCAGTACACACCCACTTGAGACGGGGGAATCAAAGACCTTCCGGTTACTAGGCAAACTCGTAGACAATTCAGGCACTGTAACCGGAATCAGTGGCCCAAGGACTCTAACTTCTATCATTTGAAGATTTTAGCAAGGAAAGGCTTCAAAGCATATCCATAAATGATTTCAGGAGCCAAATGAATCCCCTAAGCTCACTAATGGTGAAAGCAGGTAACTTGACTCTTATATTCAGAAATATGTTATAGATACAGAGTGTAAAACTAATGTTTCCACTTTGTGTATTTGAAAATGATTTTTCTTCATATTAAGCTTCATTTGGGTAGATTTTATTTTGACGTCAGGATAGATGTACAATTGTCTCATTTTTTATTTTATTTTTTATTTTTATTTTGATTACAGCTTGATTCCACACTGTATTTTCAGTACAAGTATGGAATTTTCAGCATGGATATCGGTAGCCCAAATTTACAGGCCGACCATAGATATTGGGTGTGCACCGGCAGGGAATCGAACCCCGGACCATTTGCATGGTTGGCGAGAGTCCTAACTACTGTGCCACCGACCCTCAAGATAACCTTTTAGTTTGACCCGTATCTATTCTATTACCCCTTGAGGTTTATTGTCATGTAAATTCTTATAGCAAGCACGTGTGTTTTGGAATGTGTTGTGCATGATTCAGATTGATTACGTATCTTTATTGTTTTTTCAAAGCTACCTTGTAGTTATTTCAAAAGTCTTGGGGAAAATAACATTCTATCCATTTGTGAAGTCGTTCACTGTTTCTTTAATTTATATTTTTAATTGGTAAGTCTTCTTAGAAAGACTGAATAGATAGAGAAAACTAGTGGTTTGTACATCCTGTTGAAAATGATCCAAAGATTTTCGACATGATGCAGAAGACTTATTTCATGTTGCTATCTTATTAGAATTGGTTGGTTCAATCGCGAATCTTCCATTGCACCTTTCGACAAAACAAAGAATGTGAGAGAATCCCCAGAAGCCTGATATCCAGATATATCGATAAAGACTAAATCAACCAATCCATCAAGGATAAGCCACACAATCAGAAAGTCGAATGCGGTGTCATTAAGGTGACCGATATCAATACAGTTAAATGCGAACTGAAGAAAATCTTCAGAGATAACTAATCACTGTTAAAGTTACCAGGAAGAATGGATATATATTCAATTCTGAAATCTCACTTCATCTTAAATTTAACACTGAAAATTTTGTCTAGAAGTACTATGAAATCTTCGGAACTAAACCATCCATGCGTCACTCCACAGAAACACTAAATGACCCATGGTTAATGTCAGATGCATAAGTAGGTTTTTGAAACAATACATTGTATTCATAATTAAATTCATTAAAGATTACTGTTTCAGTGTGTCATCCATGAGTCATCAATAAAGTACAGTTCATCGGCTCAGCTTTATACCCTTTATAGGATATTTCATGAGTTATTTTATTCAAATCTCAATAGATATTAGAATGTTAAGCAATACCCACAACTTTATAAACATCTTACCTTATTATTTGAAAAACTGAACGTGCTACCGGTTGAATGCATACCGTGGCAACTACTTCATTACCATCTTTTATATTCAACTCAACTGTATTCAAACAACTTTGACAACCTGCAGCCAACATTGTCTGTGGTCTTTCATTCTCCCAACCAAGTTGAACAATATTTTGATCTGACGGTGAAAATATTAAACCATAATTTTCACCATATCTTACACAACCATCTGTTGACATTTTTACAGGTGTCTTTTATAATCACCACATAGAAAAAGAAATTATTGACATTAACACAGTTCATGGATAAAAAAAGGTCAGATTGAAACAAGCGAGTTCTTACTCATGAAAAACCACCAAGTAAAATTAGCATTTACTTGAGCCCAGTCCGACAGTCTTTACCTCCCTATATGGCTGATACCAGTAGAGAAATACTCCATGGATTAGTGCCTTTTTTGATTTAACTAACCTGAACCCTTCCCCAACTTGATCCCATTTTAACTAACATCCGTATACTTGAAAGGTAATGAATGGTTCGCCATGTTGATTAACGTTTTATAACGTTCTTATCTGTTATAAGAGGCATCTTGGAACTTCCAGGTTACACTACAATAAAATTTTCATACACCTGTACCCCGAAGAAAAACAGAAGTACTGATGTAAACAGCTCTTCAGTGAGAACTTGAAGCCTGTACTTTGGAATGTAGATAATTAACCAACTCCTTGGGTTTAACACTGACTCTCATGATGTCATAGTCAATCAGCTATAGAAACAGTTGTAAAGACCACTGATAACCTACAGGCAAAGATTAGCAAATGGTAGTGGATTTCTGCCGGTTCATTTAAACTGAAAAATGAGTGGTATATTTGATATTTGTAAGCTTCCAACATCACGAAAAAGAAAGCCATTTAAACGTAAAATGACTACAAGTTTTTGTAACAGCGGTAAACAACAACAATGCGATGTCAAGCGACAGAAGTTGGAAGCGTGACTAAAAGCGATTCATAATGTTGCAGATATACTCATTCCTGTCATCTTATAAATTTGGAAAATTCTTATTTGACCCCACCTAATATTCTTTCTTCTGAATACTTTTGGTTATTGTAATTTCATTCTATTTCTTCTCTCAGTTTTGAATGTGCTTCTTGAAATTGCGACAACCTTCATCGCTGGACTTTAGCGTAAAGTTCTACGTTGATAAGTCAACTAAGGATATACTTCTTTGTTAGAATTATGAGGATTTCATTGACTGGATCAATGCACATGACATCAAAATTAAGTCGCAGACAGACTTTATTTCAGGTTCAGCACTCAGACACTGAAGGATGAAACTACAAACGACATCTTCACTGGGACCATACTGAAGAAAATGATGTTGAGGGAAACCTGTGTAGCCATCTTTGGAAGGAAGGAGATGCAAGACGAGAAATGAATCTTTATGGACACATAAAACTGATAATGGATAAAAGGATAGTGAAACCGATGATTCATTGCAAAGAAGAATGATGAAAGGTGAAACTTAGTTCAGTTTGTAGCGCACTGGATAAATAAGTGAGGAAGATTGCGAGGAAAGACACAGGAAAATTATGTAACATACTGGAAACTGAAGGTAAGAAAGACCAAGGAATACTATGTCAGAGAACCAGCTACTCATCGAGGAAGAGGTCAACATAGATGAAAACAAAGAAGGATTGTAGAGGAAGGACATATACCGAAAAAATGAAATAAATTAACCATTTAGGCGATCATTTCAAAGAGCTCTTGAATCGACCTCCATCTGAAAATCACCCAGAAACACCACCGACAACCACTGAGCTATCAGTGAACACCAATCCTTCAACAAAAGCAGAAGTCTTAAGTACTATGAAATAGCAGAAAATCAGATGGAAGGTAACAGGACAATACAGAGATCCTCCCAACACCATGAAATCGTATCCACAGACCTCAGCGGATATGCTCATACCACTACTGTAAGAAGTTTGGTGGGAAGTAAAAGTGCTTACTGACTGGAAGAAAGGTTACCTTGTCAACTTACCAAAGAAGGGAGACCTAATCGTTTTGCAAGAGCTGGCGGGAAATCATGGTCTTGTCCTCCCCTGACAAAATGTTAACGGCATCATTCAGAGGAAACTAGGAGATGCTCTAGATGTAAAACCCAGACAAGAAGTCGAATTCAGGGAAAGCAAATAATGTGCTGGTCTAATTTCACTGCTATGTTTCATCATCAAACAGAGCATATAATCGCAGTCAAATCTTGGTCTCCGATTCATCGCCTTTGAAATGGCCTTCAGCAGCGTTGGTCGTTAGGTAATTTGGAAGTTATTTCAACACTATACATTTCAGTGCCCCAAACCTTTATCAACCTCATTCAACAGCTATGTGACAATGCTACATGTCCGGTGATCCACGACAGGATATTCAGTGAAACTTTTAAGTGAATAAAGGAGTGAGGCATGACTGCCAACTATCACTGATGATATTCCTAATTGTTGTGTACTTGATCATTTGGCACACTATGGGGAGCCAGAAGACAGAAATCTGCCAGACCAGTAAGAAGTCTCTAGATAATCTGGATTTCGCTGATGATTTATGTCTGATCTCACGTATACTAAAATACTTACTGGTAGAAAAGGCAGGTAGTGAGGGTAGGACTTCAAGTGAACATAGAGAAGATAGAAATGATGAAGACACCCAACCAACACCAACAACAACAAACACCGGTTGTCATCAGTGGATTAAATCTGAAGGAAGTCACCTCTCTCATTTACTTGGTCAGCATCGTTTCAGCTACAGACAGCACATCTGAGGATGTCAATGGCGGGATAGGAAAGGCAAGACAGACATTAACTTGCGAAAATCTGTTGCACTCAGAATGAGGAACAAGATCAAGATTTTCAGTATTAATGTCATGTCAGTGCTTCTATACGGTTGAGAGATTTGGCGCTTCACGTAAAGCGTCACAGCACAATTTTATCAAAAGCAGACTTCGATGTCAAATAGCCTACAAAAAAGGATTGCTTATTTAGCAAAATACTGGGATTAAATCACCTAACAAAATATATAAGAAGGCAAGGGAGAGTGATTTACAATCAGATATGCATATTAAGGCTAGCTTCTGACGGAAAACTATAGCAACGTTCTACAAATAGAAGGGTCTAAACATCTAAGGAATATTTAACTCATTTTTAGCAGTTAAAGGCACAGTTGGAACGAAAATAGAAGAGAAGATTAGTAGCTCAAGATGAGGAGAGAAATTGTTTTGGTTAGTTTTCTGGTCTTCAGTATTTGATGTTGGGCTTTTAATCGCCAGACCTGAAGACATTTTCAGAATTCAATTCATTTAGAAGACGTTTGTACTGTTTAAATTAGGCTAGTCACGACATAAACTTGTAAATGATTAATATGATTCTTCCTTTTATCTGGTTTGAAATTTCTGTGCTGCAAATAGTATACTGGTAAGGTATTCAAGCAAATAGGATCAAGAATTAACTAGAATTAAGACAAACGTATTCTAGAGTATTTGAATAGGTCATCATAGTGAGTCTTTAAAATTCACTTTATGGTGGTTAGGCGATACCTTGGCTAGTCTCTAGTGGACTTATTTGTGTAGGTATGGTACCAGACTGGATAATGAAGTACTCGGTATCTGATAGATTGTTCTCTTTGACTAAATCAATCTGTAAATATAAGGAAAGATTGGGTCACTGATCAATGCGTTTTCATTATCTCCACCTATGAATAAACCGATTGCACTTTGAATGAGGCAGAAGATGAGTTTCATAAAAACCTGACCTGTCTGACGTCAAAATAAAACGCTTAGATGAAGTCAAATTAGCGGGTTATTTCAGTGCTTCATTATAGGAAGTAAGGCAGTCTGAGCTGTATATTACAGGTATTTGTAGAATCTCATGAGGATGGAGGAGGAATAGTAATTGTGTTCTACCATTCTGTTGAGATAATCATCAAGTTCGATAATGTAAGAAAGAGGGCAGCCACAAGTATGAAATTATCTATTCCTAGTCGGTATTAACTTCAAATGAATCATCAACCTGTAAGCTGTCAAATTACTCCTTCCAGAATACCTGCATAGTCTGTAAACATGCTCTAGTCCTTACATGAGTATATTTACGACTAAACGTCTTTTATTACTCGAATTAAATGACAAATTCCTTACTTAATGATGAATAAGAATAGACTAGTGGGATTTGAGTCTGTTTGCCTTAAGTTTGTCAGTGTCATTAGCGCGTGTATCTGCCTATGTATCTAAACAAATGATCATTTCAATTTTCAGTGGTTATTTAGAGGAAAAAATGTGATTGATGGGATATACATGGTGCGTTTTAGTTCAGATTTTCGACTAAACAGCTGAATGAATACCCCTCACATTGTTCCATATGTTAAAACATTATCATTAGAATAATTTTCTTTCTAATGTACAATAATGATTGATGTGTGAAAGAAGGAAGTATTTATCATTGTCATTTAGTTACATTGTTCTATGATAAGTAATATACGCACTTATCGTGATAAAAAGGATTAAGGAAAAAGTGATACAAACTTTTCTCATTACAATACAAACACACACAATCTAAGAATTTTCGCCTAACAACAGAGGTAGAGACAGTAATAAAACAAGCAGCTAAACAAACAAACAGATTTAGACACAAAAGTGTAACGAGTAGATCAGTTCAAGTTAGAAGATTTCAATAAAAAGAATTATGCAGACGATGGGGAAATACGCAAAAGTCTCATAAGAATTATAAAGTGTGCACACATATTAGTTTCAGTAATTTATATGCCCAAGTGTTGGTTTGCAGAGATTTGATTGGTCATAGGATTTCATCATGAGCTGACATTGGTTACAGAACCACTGGGAAACCTGGGAGTACTGGACAGCTGTTTCGTCCTGGTTTGGAACTCTTCAGCAGTATGCACCCATTGGGGTTCGAACCCAGGACATTCTGGTTACAAAGCGAGCTCGTACACCATATAATACATTCAGAACAAGAATAACTACAGCCACTGAACAGTTATTTTCGAAATAGCCTCTTCCTATTATAGGCTCAATAGTTATAAATCCCTTTTGTGATCACATATTGTCTTTAGTTAGAGAACCTTTGTAAACCAGCAGGGAGTACTAAACATCTGCTTCGTCCTTGTTTGGGACTCTACAACAGTGCGCACCCTTGACGCAAATAGGATTGAACCCAGGACATTCAAGTTAAAGGGCAAACTCGTC